AGGAGGACTATTTGGCTCCCTTCCTAGCCCTTCCCTCTGACATCATCTTCACTTCTCAATAACAAAGACAGACGTCAACCCACTATGGTTAGGCCTAGCTCTAAAGTTGTTTGAAGGATGATACTGCCTTCTGACCTTCAACCTGTTTCTTTCCCAAACTCCAACCTGCTTTTGCCCACAAAGCCAGGCTGGATGCAGCAGACTTTGTCCTGTCTTCCCAAGTCTGATGTGCAACATTGTGTGCTTGAGCAGAGAGCACAGAACGGAGAGAACACTGAAATGGGGGAGGATTGGGAGAGAGGCAAATATAGCTTGGTTCGGGATCTTTGAACTGTCACGCATCTTTCTTGGAATAAAAGCAAGAATGGACTCTTTCAAAAAGCACCTAGGCATTGACCTTGAGCTTTGCAATGTCTTCTGCATCTTCTCAGGTAAGATGAAAACTCTGATGATGGCTTGAGACATCATGATTTGCAGAAGTCACCCAGCTTTGGCTACATTTGCTATCTTGGTATGGGGCTGGGGGAGAGGGCGGCATCTGCAGGAAATACTGATGAAGCTGTTCTGGCTGAAACCCCATAGGGAATCCACAGTACAGTTTATTCCGAATAATGATGTAAAGTTACACCATTACATCAAATACAAGACATCAACTTGATTCTCCACGAGCAGTAGCCAAGGTTCAACTGATGTCCATTTTCCTGAGTAAATTAACACCTCTGCAGAAAGTGGCTACATGCTTCAGTAAGCAGGAACGGGGAAGGTGGGGAGAAGAGACTGGGGCCCTCAGGGTTGGATCAGAGCCTCCTTGGCTTCTATCCATGTGGCAAAGCTGTAGGTGTGCTTGTGTGTCTATTCCTCTGTGTCTTTCCCTACAAGTCAGACAATCCAGCTACAATTGTCAGACTGCTCCCTTTACATTTCTGCTGGGGGCTTGGAGGGAGGAGGGAATGGGGAAAGGGCTCCCTATTTAGAAATTGCATTGAAATGGAAAGACAATATGACACATCTGCTCATGTCAAAGGAGCTCTTTCTTCCCGCCTACAGCATTAGCAATTCCTTACCAAGGTTCAATTTTTTGAAAGAAATTATTATTTGGTTTTAATTTATTTTATTTGCAACATAACTCAACAAGACATTGCTGCTTAGAGCAGGGTGGTAGCCGGCCCAAGGGCAGAGACTTAAGGTGGGAGCAGAGGATGAGCACATTGGCTGTTTCCGTAGAGAGGAGGGCATTGGAGTGGGAGGCCTCTGATTTCTGTCTCAAACCTCCTCTCATTCTGCCTCCCATTCAACCCCAGCTCCTCTTCCTGCATCTGAGCAGTCTGTCCTGGGGGTACCCTGACTTGGGATGCTCCATCCATGGCTATAGATGTAATGAGAGCAGTCAGGGAGGGGGAGCTGAAACTGAGTTGGCCTCTGTAAAACCACCCGGAGCTTCAGAGCCAGGAAAGGCTGCCTCCCTCCTCCCCTCACCCCAGCCTCCTCCTTTCTCCCTCATATAAAATCCTATAGTGCTGTTGCCGGAAGGAGCCTCAAAGAGCTCCTAATCCAACTTGAGATAGGCACACTGAGACCCAGACAGGGGATGTGACAGCCTCCTGGCTGCTTTGGTGCACCAGCCCTGAATCCAGCCCTCCCAGACCCTATCCAATGTACTTATTTGCCACCACTCCATGCTTAAGGTCTCTGCTCCTGCTTCTCTCCCCTCCACCTGCCAAACCCAAACTCAGAATGGGATTTCTTTGAGACATAGAATTTAAGGGCAACAATTCCATTTCTTTCTACCTCTTTCCCTCTCTGGGTTTGAGAAGGTCGCTGGATCCTCCCTCCCAGGTTTTGGTGGAAGCTTGGGACTCCAAATTTGATATCTTCATATGGGAAGAAGAAAAGGTGTGTTTTGGGGTTGGGTTTGCAGGGGAAATGGGTTTGGGAGATAAAAAAGTTACTATATTTACATGATGAATTTTTTTCTGTTTTGTGGCTAATTATGTGACCACAATGTCGTCAGCAATTGACCTGGGAGAAGGGGGAGGTAGTGGGCTAAAGCCGACAACTAGGTTAAGGCTTTATCTTAATGTTTAAAGATACTTTTTAAATGTCTCCTTCTGAATGTGTTTCCTTATCTGTGCACCTGTCTTCCTGTCTGTTTCTCTGTTCTCTATCTCCTATAACTCTCTCTGTATCTCTGTCTTATCCTCTGTCTCTCTCATTTGTATCTGTATCTTGTCTATCTCTGTCTCTGTTTCTTTCTCTCTGTCTCTCTCATCTCTGTGTCTCTCACACGCCCTAACTCCTACATTCCAACTTCAATAGCTATTGACTGAGGCAGGAGACCTATCCTGTTTCCACAGCCCTATCAGGGCAGCAGCTCCTTCACACTGTTAGATTGAGAAATGCCAGGTCCGGAGCTGCTGCCGGGGCGCCAGAGACGCTGCATAACCGCCTGCCAAGTGTGGAGGCTGAATCTGGGAACAGTGAAAAATTATCCGTTAATTCTCGGCTCCTGCCACCTGCTCTGCTCCAAACAAGCTCCTTTGGCTTCAGTTTAGATGCAAATTCCCCCACTCGATGTAAGCAAAATATTGATTTCCCTGCATCACAGGTCCGGGCCCTTGGAATAGTCCTGTGTTTTTTCATTCTCTGCAAAGGCAAAACAAGGCGCTTTGTTCTGTGCATTTCCCCAGGAACTCTAGAGGGGGAGGGAGAAATAGCAGTGGAGTGACAGAGTTGCCATAAACACGGGCAAAGAGCAATTCTTCTCCATTTGTATTTTACATAAACACAAACCTGCCACTTCGGAAACTGCTAATAAGCGTGTAGCCAGAGGCACTCCTGAGTGCTGGGATCTGCATAGGGTGATAGAAAAGAAGGTATTGAGGCCTCTGGGCTCCTCAGGTGGGTTTTCAGAAGCACCAGGAAGGCGAATGGGGATGCCAGAGCCCCACCTGTTCTTGTAACAGCAACCAAACACCTCCGGCAGGAAGGCGGTCTGGATTGTACAGTATTGCCGGCGTGTGTCTGCTTGGTCCCTGCCTGAGTTCCTAGCCCCCTCCTATCACAGGCACAGGGGTTAGGGTGGAAGATGCGAGCCTTCCACAATTGCCTCTCCCCCATCCTCTAACCCAGTGCTCACGTGATGGTAGCACCAACTGGGTTCAGCACCGTGGACAGAGCCAGGGAACGACTCACGGTGGAAAAGCCGCCTGCCTGACCCAGGGTCCTCACAGGCCACGTCTTGGCCCTTGGTGCCCAGGGCACTAGCTGCTAGGGAATCGCAAGTCCAAGGGCCTGCTGGCACAGATGGCTCACAGTGGAGACTGCCAGGAGCTGGGGTTCCGAATCTCCTCCCTCCGGAACCTGAGTCACTGCCCGAGTCACTTCCAATAAGCGTGTTAATTAAGGGGCGAGACCCTCCTCCCTCACCAGCCATTCGGGCATACACCAACCCAGCGGTTTCCAGGGCTGCAGCTAAAGTCTCCTTCCCAGCTCCGGGAGAGCAAATGGACTGGAGTCTGGGGCTTCAGGCGAGCCCCACACAGAAGGGGCCAAACGCCGACAGGTGGAGATCAAGAGACTCCCGTGATAGGCCCCTTCAGGGAGCTGGTTCCGCGGCCTCCCTGACCATGGCGCACAGACTTCCAGCGCTAAGTGAGGAGCCTTGAGGCCCCACAGCTAGTCTGCTCCTGGGCCTCACTCCACAGTTTCTGGGGGAATCTCTACTTTAGCCTCAGTCCTTGCGTTTAGCTTTCTTGTTATGCTTAGTAGAAAGATACATGATCTCTGGAGTTGTTGCACTGAAGTGGAGAGGTGGGTCGGCGGAACTCAGCGCCCCGCGCCCTCTTGAAATGACCCCCCATTCCTATTCGCCAGAAACTTTCCCCTCCCGTTGCCATGGAGAGAGACGGCCGCTGGCACCAGTCGCCATAGCAACACGCGGGTACCGCGGACCGCAGGATTGCGGAGCTCTGAAAGTCTTGCAGTTCGCATCGCCCGCCTGTCTTGAGGTCTTCTACCTCCGAAGCTGGGACTTGGGGCCAGTATAACTTCTCCGGTCAGGAACCGCGGCCAAGGCCCTTCCAGCCCCAGCCTGACCGTCGCTCTTTCTGTTTCAGGGTTATCTATTTCGCTGCCATTTGTGTGGCATGTGGCCGTTTACCCAATGTTTTCACAAACACGATCTTTCTATTCCCAGGCAGCCAGTGAAGCACTTAAAATCATTACACCTCCTTTACGGAGAGGGAAATTGAGGCGCAGAGACGCCCAAGGTCACACCAAGCAGTGAATGCAGAGCGGGAACCCGGGCTCTTTATCAGCCTTGCACCCTCTGAGATTCGGGACAGCCCGACTCCCTGCCTCGAACCCCCCTCCCCTGACTCAGGCCAGTCCCTGAGTGTAGAGGGGGCGGCTGCGAGGCGCCAGACTTGCCAGCTGCCGCGGGATGCCACGTGAGGGGCGGGGACCCTGCGGGGAAGTGATTAAAAGCGGAGCGGAGCCGCAGGGGGCCGCTGCAGGGAGGGTCTTCTAGGGGCCGTAGTGCCCCGCCCCAGTGCGGCCGCTGCGCGGGTTCGAGCTGCTGCTCGGCAGGCCTGGGTGTCTGGGGCATGAGCGGGGTGTGGGGGGCCGGCGGGCCTCGGTGCCAGGAGGCGCTCGCGGTTCTCGCCTCGTTGTGCCGGGCCCGGCCGCCCCCTCTTGGGCTGGACGTGGAGACTTGTCGGAGCTTCGAGCTGCAACCCCCAGAGCGGAGTCCCAGCGCGGCAGGCGCAGGTAACGGGAGACCCAGAGCCCTCTCCCTTCTTCGATTCCCGTCCTGCGGACTCCCCTCCCCAGAGCACCGGTCCCAGGAGCCCCAAAACCTAGAGAGAACTCTCCAGCTCGGTATTCTGGATTGGAAGCCAGCCTCGGGCCAGTCCCCTGGCCCATCGCTTCCACAGCCAGGAGACACCAGAAAGGGACCGGGGGTGGGGGTATAACTCCCCCGGTCCTCCGGTGTTACTACTGCGGGGGACCCCACAGACAGCCAGGCTCCCAGGATGGGGCACCCTCGGGGCTTCAGTTTCCCTCGCATCTCCAGGCTCGCTCTGCAGGCGACCTGCCAGAAGAGGGGTCCGTGGAGAGAGCGGGAGACGAGGGGCGCCTAGCTGAGGAAGAAAGCTTGTCTCCTAGCGAGTGTCGAGGTCCCGGGGTTCGTGCATCGGTCTGTCCGTCCGTTTGTGTGTTCTCGTGGTGAACACGGAGGACCCCCGGTCTCTCTGGGAGAAACTTGGGTCTGCGGCTGGCACGAGGTCTTTGTGTCCGGGTGTCTCTCCGGCTGCGAGTGGTTTTCCGCGTCTCCGCTGGGGGGCGGGGGACAGGGGGCGGGGTGGGGGAGGGTATGAGGGTGTCGCGTCGTCCTTCCCCCACCCCCCTCGCCCCTATAACTCGCTCCCTCGGTCCCTCTCGGACTCGGACTCGGGGCGGGTGCGCGACTGAGCCGGCGCCTCTCGCCGACTTTGCCAAGAGGGCGCCTCCTGCCCGAGCCGCGCGGACCCTGCGTCGGACGCAACCCCAGGCGGCTGCCGAGCCGAGGCGGGAGCCCGAGCCGAGTCGAGCTCGCTGGAGCGGGTGAGTCCCGAGCCCGATCCCCGCCGGGCTGGACCCCGGCGCGCAGCTACGGCGTCTCCCGGGAGTCGCGACAGCGGGAATGGCGTGTCGCGCCCTGGCGGCGGGAGACGCGGGAGGGTCGGCGACGTGGCGGCCGGCCCCGGGTATTTACCTGCTGCACCAGTGCCCTGCGGCCACAGTCGCCGGCCGTCGCGAGGCTTCTTTGTCCCGACGTCTTGAGGGTCCGGGGCCGGAGGGAGTGCGGGGTCGCGTCCCCTCCGTGGGGGAGGGGCTGGGGGAGTGAGAGGCCTGGAGAGAATGCGGAATGGGGGTGGGGAGATCCTGCAGGGACCAGGGCACCGGGGGTCCAGGAGGCTCTGCAGGCTCCATCCCTCCTTGTCCCCCGACCCCGACCCCAGTAGTGCTGGGCCTGCAAGTACTCGGGAGTTGCCCCGTGGCTCCGCACCGCAGGCGCGGGAAGGGGAGGGAAGGGGCTGCCAGAGGCAGGAATTTGGTCCCCAAGCGTTGCTTCGGGGACAAGAAGCCTGGGACCGTAGCGGCGGTTCCGGGAGCAGGTACAGGTGGGGTAAACTCCCCAGCGGCTGCAGGTTCCCAGGGTCCTGTTTTCTTTCACTTGAGGTTAAAGGTCATATACGGAGGTAGATTCCGATGAGGAACACTTCAGGCGAGGGGCAGTGGCCCAAGGGGAGGCTTGTGTGTGTGAGGGGGCTGTATCCAGCCTTGGGGTGAGTGGAGCCCACCTGAGCACTGAAAGTCGAAGGAGTCGCTGCTCTCCCTAGTTGTGGCAATGTTTAGTCAATGGTTTGATCACTGCAGCAGAAGAGACTGAGGTTAGACATGAAGAACTTTTAGAGGGTGGTTCAGAGATGGAGATTGGGGAAGTTGATTCCTCACCTCGGAGATTCTCAGAACAGATTAGGCCTGGCAAGTTATTACAGGTCTCTGGTTCTCCAGTGCCATCCCCTCCTACACCACCCATTTCCCCATACCCACCAGACACAGAATTTTCCCTATTAGGGAGTCTCTTCCTGCCTCTCCCTACTCCCCAGCCCCCTTCCATCTTTTCCACCATTGGTCCATCTCCAGCGCCGCCTTAATGTTTGACCCTCAGAGCCTAGAGGGTGAGAACATACCTGTCTAGTTCCACCTTGAAAGGAAGCTGCCCCTCCTGTCTCTCTAGGGCAGAAATGCTGGGCGGGGGAGGGGGGGAGATGCTGGAGGTGGGGTAGGGCTATCTGTGCACAGCACATCTTGGTAGGGGGAGGCACTGGTGTTCTGATTCCAGAGGGATGCCCATAATCTGGAATGACAGGTGCCTGCATGGCCAGGTTGTGGGTGAGAAAAGCCTGAGGGGTAAGAGTCAGCAGACCCAGATGATGACTATGCCTTCCCTGCAGGCTGCCTCAGGACATGAGTTTGAGTTGTCAGCTCAGGAAAACTTTAACTTTGGCTGCTGAGTCACAAGTCCAAGAAGCCCAGGGGGCAAGCTGGGAGGCTGAAAGGGATATGGAGGGCGGAGGCAGGGGCAGACCCTTTGATCATAGCAAGAGAAAGAAAGTGGTTGAGAGTGGTCTTAGGATCCTGAGAATTTAGGTGACCACAGGGTCTGGGGAGATTCTGTGGAGTCCAGGACCAGGCCCCAGCTGTTCTTCCTCCCAGCCTGCTCTCTGCATCCCAGAGCCACTACCTGGGTCCAGATTCTCCAGCCAGCAGAACACTAGAGCTTTTCATTTGTTGCAGTTTTTTGAAACAGTCTCTTAACCATTTTATGTTTTCCCTTGACTTCCTCCTGTTCCAAGTCTCTAGCTTATAGATTTCTAGTAACACCCTGAGATTCGACAATTGAGATTCAGGCTCCACTGTCATTTGCTGAGACTTATCTGCAGGCCAGGGTCTGTGCTAGGAATCGCACAGCAAGTCTCAGTTAATCAGAGCCTGACTTGGAAACACCTGTACACAAACTGTCCCAACCAAAAGCAAGTTCTGCCTTTTTCTTTAAAAACTCTGAAGCCACTGGCCTGCTATTCTCCTTAAAACACCCCAAGTGAATACTAAGAAGCAGTTCTCCACCTTTCCTTGTGTCATTTGCCTTGTGGGGATGAATGAACTTTATCCATAGGCCACATTGCAGAGGTTTAGGTCTGGTCAGCATGGGTTCTGGACTTAAGGAAGCAAGCAGAGGTCCAGAAGTGCTCCAGAGAATGCAGAAACCTGACAGGAGACCTCAAGCTTCCCTGCTTTTTTTAGGCTGGCAGCCAGGGTTGGTTATCTCCAGCTTACCTGTGGCCATGAGATTTATGTGATGTTTGCTCACCTTGCTAATGACTCTGGAGATGTTCTGTGATTCAGCCACCTGGCTTTGAAGTGGCCTTTTGCAACATAGAGATTTTTCTTCCTGCTTGTAATGGCAAATGTAATGCCCAAAATTTCATTACAACACAAAGTTCACTCCCTCATTGCTTCTCACTGGAAGTGTGGAATTCTGCCAGTTTGGCCCTTTTTTCTGAGGAAAGGTACGATGCGCAATCCTTGGAACCCAAGGAGATGATATTCTGACTAGTGTGTTTTGAGCTTTAGAGTTCTAGAAGCAGGGTCCAGTATCTGGGAGTTGTAGAGCCCTTAGATTTTCAGTTCTAGAAGTTCTCTCCTCCCTCTGACTATGATGAGAACGTCAAGTGGGGACAGTGGTTTCAGTATGTGCCATCCCTCTAAGCTCTGTACAAAAGAGATGTTCTCTTCTAACCGTCTGAACTGTATCTTCCCTGTGCACAGAGTTAGTGGTATGACACATGACTGCAAATAGTGAGGACTGCCATTGAGGCATCTGGACCAAGTCAGGTTTCTTTACAGTCTGTATAAGGTTGCCTGGAATGGGGAAAGCATGCTAAGAGCAAGTCCCGACTAAACTAGGTGGCACCCTTTCTAGTCTGGCCTAGGAAAAGAAACCTGTAAGGACTGAGTCACACTTAGCTACTGAAATCAGAGGAGCCTCTGAAAGAAGAAATGAACAGGGGCACCCAGATCTGGGCGCTCCAAGTGTAATGACACAGCCTCATCCCTCCCTTCTTTCCTCTAGGAGCACTGAACTCTTTCTTGCTCCCTGAGGACCCATGCAGACCCCTCCTCTCTCTAGTTGCAGGTACAAACAGGGAGAGGAGCATAGAGGGAAAAGAATTTCTGGCTGGCTGTCCCCCACCTCTGTCATTCCAGCCTTAATAGCACATTCAGAAGGGCCACATTCCCTGACCCCTTAGGCAGAAAGGTACAGTTACCATCCACCAAAATAATCATATTAATAATTGCTAAATTAGTGCCAATGCTCTGTTAGCTATAACACTCCACATTAGTCTCCGATTTTGCTCCGAATCCCTAATGATGGTGGAAGCGGGCGCCCAGTCGTAAAGCTTGGTGTGGCCATAATTAGCTTGGCATTGTCTCCCCTCATCACAGCTTTTTCAGGAGCATTAATTCCTTCTCTGTTTGGACTCTGCTAATTATCCCCATTGGTAGCGCAGTCTGGATCTCTGAAAGAAGGAAAGGAAGCAAAAGCCCTCTGCTCCCCTCCCCCCAGCCCTGAATTTTAATTACACCGGGTTCTCCTAATAAACTTACAAGCCCTGGCAGAGCTTATTATTAATGGGCCACTTCTGCGCCTCAGTACAGAATAGCTCTGTTCTCCCAACACACACACACACACACACACACACACACACACACACACACACACACATTCTCTCTCTCTCTCTCTCTCTCAGATATTCCTCAGGTACATCTCTGGTGAATGGGACTTTTCCAGAGGCCACTGGTTACTTGCCTAGTGGCTGGTGGGCAACCTGCAGTGTCAGCTTTCCAAGGAAGAAGATGGGGCAGGGTGGTAAGCAGGCTGGTCATAATCCAAGTCTTCTGGGACTCTGTCCAGGTTCAGGGGGTCCCATCCTCTCCTGAGTACAACTAAGAAATTCCTCCCCCTTCCTCCAGCTTCTCTGTCCAGCGTGGGACTCTACAGCTCAATTTCCAGTCCTCCCAGATGCCTGGTTCAAGAGCCCCGACTTGGGCCTCAGAAAGTCCTAGATTCAAATCTCAGCTCCTCTCTTTAATGTACTGTGCCCTTGAACAAGTTACTTGGTTAACATCTCTGCACTTCGTTTATTTATCATGAAGGGTAAATACCAATTTCTTAGGGAGGCTAGAAGCTTAAATTAGATCGTGTAAAGGTCATAGTGCTTACCATGTTAGAAATAAATAACAAATAATGTTATTAGTAGTATTATGAGTGGTTCTGCCCAGGATCTCTTCTCTCGCCAGACTAAATGCTGTTCTTCCAAGCTCTTGGACCTCTGTGTCTCCTGCTCCCTGGCCTCTGGGCTGTGCTTTGTCTCTGTCGTCTCTCTCTGTGTCTGCATGAGAGCTCCTTGGGTGAGGCAGCTCCTGCTCTCCACAGCCTGAGCACTGACCATTTCTGAGGGTCCACCAGCAATTCCAGGCCCTGAAGCCAGCCTTCTCTTGCTTTGGGGTGAGCAGGGAAAATGGTTCTCTCTTTTTGCTTCCTCTCCCCAGCTTATCTCTTCAATTACAATCTGTTAGCAAGAATGCCTGTTACTGATACAAAATGGATTTTTCTGACATGGGAGCCCATTAGAAAAATGGGAACAATAGCAAGCGATAAGAATTGCTGATGAATTCTAACACCAGGTGGAGAAGAAGGGAGGGGCACCAGGGCTGTCTTTGGAGAAAGAAGTGTCAGTGGGGGAAGATAAGAAAGCCCTGAGCTGCTAATTAATAACCCAGCATTTTCTCAAAGAGGAGGGAGACCATGGGCCATCACCCCAACCAGACAGTCTCATTTAAGGTGACAAGCAGATCCCACCCTGATGGCCTCGAAGGGGATCTTAACTTCCCAGGAGAGAAGAGGGGCGTGAGGTGTCCTCAGATGCTTTATCCTCTGATCTTCCTCAAAGACTTAGCTTTGTGTCTGTTCTGTACATAGTAAACTATTACCC